GCCAGCTTCCTGGAGGGACCTGCCCAGATGGCCCTGCCATTACCAGTCCTTTGACCTGGGCTAGATTTGGGCTCTTTGATGCCAATGGCTTAACCCTATAGAGGGATGGAGGGGGTGGAAGGGGATAAGCCTGTAGGATCAGAGATGCTTAGATGCTTGGGGCTGCAAGTATTTGGGCTTGGTGTGGGGAGGTCACCACAAATGGGTTCTGGGTAGATGAGGGGCCATGGTCAGGGGGGTCTGACTAGCTATGGCACTGTAGGGTATGTGACGAGCCATCCTCCGAGGACCCACATGAATGGCCAGATGACATCACTAAATGGCCGGTAAGCAAGACACCTACATCTGTGTGAGGGATATCATAGGCACCTTCAACTCTGGAGACCCATCTGTCCCCTTAAGCCTGCGATCCTTTGATATTGGAGAGTGTGAGGAACTACCAGGCCTGGCCAAATGTTCTTATTCTTGCTGACTTGGTAGATGGTGGGGCTAGCTTGCTGAAGAAGAAGAGAAGCCAGGCAGGTGCCCATGGCTCTCCATCCTCAAGCAGACTGTTGGAGTGGCTCAAACCATTTTATAAAGGCATCACATAGGAAAACATCAGTCCTTGGAATTTATACATTCCTGTCCTCAGGCCCTCTCCCGGCCCAGTTTCACTGTCTATGCTTGGCAAAAACCGGGACAGAGAGCTCATCTTGGGAACACCAGAGTTGGGGAAAAACAGCAGAGGATCATAAGAAGGAGAGAATCTTGGAGATCATATCATCCCACCTTCTCGGTTTACATAAAGAGAAACAGGTCCAGAGTGATGCCTGAGGTCACAGGCAGTAAATAGCAGGGCTGGGATTCAAACCCAAGGTTTCTGACTTCAGATCCAATTTCTCCATTACACCCTTAACATGAGTCCTTGTAGTCATATAACAAGCTCTTCTAAAGCCACGATCTCATCAAAGCCTATTTTACTGAGTACACAGAGACTCAGAGAGGGAAAGAGATGGGCCTAAGGGTCAGTAAGTAAATTTTGGAAATAGAATGAGAACCTTGGCCTCCAGCCTAGTGCATAGGGTTCTTTTGGTGACATTCAGTGACCCTTCCCCTATCCCTCGGCTCTGGCCAGCTGGGTACTACTGAGGGGGCACCTTACTGGACTAATCTTGCCCCTCCTCACCCATATGGGGAGGGAATGACCTGCTGTCTCTCCTCTAACCCATATGTAACCCAGATCTGCACCAAAAACAGTGCTGGGAACCACACCAACCACCTCCACATGGATTGTGCCATCACCGGGAGGCCTTGCTGCATCGGTACCAAAGGAAGGTGAGAGAGGACTAGCGCCTGCCTCCCTCACCTGGTTTCTCGGAGACTGGCACTGAAGGTGCTAGTGACAGATGAGACAGGCGGGATAATGAAGACTTAACTGATTAGACCGACCTAGGGAGGGTTATAGGTATGGGGCTGGGAAGGAAGAGACCAGACTCCAGGGGATCCCTATGGTGACCCAAAGCCAGTTAATGCCCTCTGTCTGAATTTTCTTCCCTCTAAGGTGTGAAATCACCTCTCGGGAATACTGTGACTTCATGAGGGGCTATTTCCATGAGGAGGCCACACTGTGCTCCCAGGTATGGCATGGAGGGGAGAGGAGAAGCTTTTTCCATGCAGGACAAAGTGTGGAACAGCATGTGTGTGTGTCTGTGTGTGGCTGGGGGGGTTGAAGTTGGCGAAAGGATTCCAGGCCGTTGAGGAACTGTGGATACCTTCCCAGCTTTTCTTTGCCCCTTCTATCCCCAATAACCCGTTTTACTTCCTGGGTTACTACTGATAGGCCACTCTGTTCCCACAGGTACACTGCATGGATGATGTCTGTGGCCTTCTGCCCTTCCTTAACCCCGAGGTTCCTGACCAGTTCTATCGTCTCTGGCTCTCCCTTTTCCTACATGCTGGGTAAGTAAGTCAGTGCCTCCTGGGCTAGGGCCTAGGGGCCTGGCCTCCAAGCAGTGCAAGGTTGAATGTACTGACCAGGCTGCAGGACCTACTGCCCTTTTAGGTTTCTCTGGTTAGGCATGGAAGGTGGGAAAGTAGGTACTAACTTTTTTCCTGAAAGTTTGCATCTTATACAATAACCTAATCACACATACACATTTTTTTGGAGATCCTCAGGAAGTATATCTGAGGCTGATGAGTTAAAATGTATTTATTAAACCACTAATGTGTTAAGTGCCACATTTATATCTGGGGATACAAACAGAAAAACACCTTCTGATGGGGGGGCAACATATGGACCTTAGTAATCTAGGTGGGGTGAACCTTAGGGTATATGAGGGGAGGTGGGTATCTATGTGGTTCTAAGTGTTCTGCTCCCTTTTCCTTAACAGGATCTTGCACTGCCTGGTGTCTGTCTGCTTCCAGATGACGATCCTTAGGGACCTGGAGAAGCTAGCTGGGTGGCACCGCATATCCATCATCTACCTTCTGAGTGGTATCACAGGCAACTTGGCCAGTGCCATTTTCCTGCCCTACCGGGCTGAGGTAAGACTCTGAGGTGTTCCATGGGGCACAAACATGGTGGTCAGTCTGGATATCTTACAGATAGCTGTAAGAATCTATCTGAGCTCTCTGGCTACCTTCACCTTGGCTTTACCACTAGCTCGTTGGGTTGCCCTTTGCCTTTCTGGGTTTCATTTTCTTTTTAAAGTGAGGGAGTTTTATTTGATCAGTAAGGATTCTTTTGAGCTCTGACAGTCCATACACTATGTTCTAAGCATCCTTTTGTGACCCTGCATCCTTTAATCCAGCTTTATTTCATTTTTCTTGAATCTTATTTCCCTAACGAGACTGTAAGGTAGTCAAGCACAGGGCCTGTATCCTTTTCTCCATATCCCTCAGAACTTAACTGAGCATATACTAGGTACTTGAAGCTTAGAAGCAGCACTATATAGGTGGCCCTGATTTCCTTCGACAGACATAATTCTGAAAATGTACCTACACAGAATTTTTTCAAGTCAGAAATGTTGAACCACTTTGTCCTTAGTATGCAACTGGACACTATGGGGGAGAATTTAAAAAAAACTACCTGACAAAATCACTGCCCTCATGGACCTTGTAAATTCTTTTTTAAAAAAATGGAGAAAATCTTAGCCCCAGGAAAGCAATTTTTACAAAATGCACCTTCTTGCTTTTGGCTAGTTAGGGGCTACAGGAATGAAACAGTGCATGTTATCAGATGGGAACACTTGGTCGTTTCCTTAACTACTTTTCATGGTTACAAAAGGAAGGGCTCATGGATTAAGTGGTGTGTGAGGGGGTAGGTGGCAGTATTATCCAGAAATGACTGGGATATAAAAACAAAAATAATTGCAGTGAAACTTATTTACAGAACTTTAAAAAGGTAACGTAGGAGGGGAATTATGGGGTTCCAGTCTTGATTGTGACCTTACTCTCTTTCGGCTGTTTCCTGTTCTGTTAGATTAGACTTACAACCTTACATAAATTGCAAGCGATGTAAAAGGTTGACTAGGAAAGGTCTGTTCTTATTACAAAGATTCCACAAATTGCATTACAAATCTTTATAGTGAAGAATTTCAGGTTTATTCATAAGAATTTTGAACCTTCCACTGAGGTAACTTTGAACCATGTCAAATCTTTGGTTCCTTTGAAAACCGTGGTGAGGGTCAGTCAGTCAGTAAATTAAATTAAGGTTTTACACGTTCCAAGCACTGTGGTAAGCACTGAGGATACAAAGAAAGGCAAAAAAAAAAAAACAACAAAAAACCTCCCCCTGCCCTGGAGAAACTCACAATCTAATGGGGGATACAATATGCAAACTACCGTGTACAAACAATCTATATATGGGATAGAGGAAAGGCTTCCTGGAAGAGGTGGTGAGATGGTGGCAAATAAGAGTAAACTGAGATAGTGTGGGCCTAGAAGGTGCCCTAGGTTCAGGTGTGCCTTCAGCAAGCCTGTCTGCCAGGGCACCTCTAATCCCAACCTGTCCCAATCTACTCTCCCTCCTCCCCAATTTTTCATGTTCACTCATTCTAGGAGTCTTTATTGGCCCCATGTCTCCCCCAGTGGACCACCCTAGCAGCAACCCTTCCTCTTCTCCATTTCTCTTCCTGCAGGTTGGCCCCGCAGGCTCCCAGTTTGGCATCCTTGCCTGCCTCTTTGTGGAGCTGTTCCAGAGCTGGCAGATCCTGGCCCGGCCTTGGCGAGCCTTCTTCAAGCTTCTGGCCGTGGTGCTGTTCCTCTTCACCTTTGGTCTCCTGCCCTGGATCGACAATTTTGCTCACATTTCTGGCTTCATCAGTGGCTTCTTCCTTTCCTTTGCCTTCTTGCCCTACATCAGCTTTGGCAAGTTTGACTTGTATCGCAAGCGGTGCCAGATCATTGTCTTCCAGATCATCTTCTTGGGGCTCCTCTCTGGCCTGGTGATCCTCTTCTACTTCTACCCAATCCGCTGTGAGTGGTGCGAGTTCCTCACATGCATCCCCTTCACAGACAAGTTTTGTGAGAAATATGAATTGGATGCTCAGCTCCACTGATCCAGGGCCATGGGAGGTGGAACTTGGAAGGGGGGACAGTGGTGCTGGACCGGAGCCGGGAGCTGTGTCTCCCTCTCCCCCAGGTGGGGACAGACCTGGATCCCATCCCACTGGCCAATCTTGCCCACCTCCCACCCAGGCTTCCACACTTGGCAGTCCAGTCTGGCCCTGCCTCATCTCACCATGACTCACATGTTTCCTGAAAACAGAATGATTGTGCCTTGTTCAGTTTTGTTGAACCCCTTTTATGCCTCCAGGTTTTTATTACACTAGTGTCCATAACTACCTTTTTAACTAGTCCAGCTGACGACCACCACATGTGGCCAATAAATGGAACGGGAGCGTTTTAGCTGCCATTAACTCAGATCACATCTGTGTCTTTCTCTTTCCTAGGCTGTCAACCTTGATGGGGTAGTGGTGGGAAAGCTTCAAGAGCAATCAGAGAATAGTAACCATGGGTATTGGGGGCACTGGGATAGTATAGAGCCACAAAATTGTGGAAGGCTCAGACTAGCTTTTCAAGAGGTCATTCAGACTAGGGTTGAGGACAGGGCAAAATGATTATGTTTTAGAACTGAAGGAAGGTAGGAACATGGTGGGAAATGGGCAAGGGGAAGCCGAGTCACATCAGGAAAAAAGTGGCCCAAAGCTCACCAGCATGAGAAGAGATGCTTCTGGACACTAGAGAGCAAAAGGACACAGTGCCTCTCATCAACAGAAATAGGGTGTATAGAAATTGTAGCCCATTTCCCTTGTTTTACCCAAAACAGAAGTCCACAGGGTTCAAATACATCATCAAGTGCGGAGGAAGGACAGGTGGCAAACACAATGAAAACAGCAGGCAGCTCACACCCAAGGCACCAAGTTCCAAGTCTTCTTGCTCCTTGGGAGCTAGCCCTATGTCTTGACATCCTGTTTCTCTCCGGTCATGTTCAGGGCTGGGTGAAAATATCTCGGCACAGTAGCAAAACTCCTGGTCTTGGATTGGTTGAACCCTGTAAAACAAGGAACTTTCCAATAAGGCAACTCTGAATAGGTAAAATCTTTGGTTACTTTGCCACAAAGTAGGACCCATGATCTCCAGAGGAATGGGATGGATAATGTGTGACCTAAGGGCTCCCTATCTTTAATGGAATACTCGGACCAGGCAGATTGTAGGGAATCGGGAATTTTGGTCAGGGTGGAGAGGGTGATGGTGCTTTTAGAGACTAGATTAGGAAAAGGATGGACATAGGCCTTAACAGGTATCCCGTTTAAAAAAGAGGTACCTTTTAAAAGTTTGAAAGCAGTGGTCACGACTGGGGGGAGGGAGCAGCTGAAGAAGAGTCATTTGAGAAATAGCTGTCACTGGTACCTGCCCTCAAAGATCCAAACTGACTTGTGTGGGAAGCAAAAGTGTGATAGCATATTAAATATGTTATGTTTAGTCAAAGTGGGTTTTACTTGGGAGATTTTTAGGCCTTCTGAAGAGAATCTCTGTAGGAAGTTTATGAACTTCCTGAGTGTTAACGCTGTCACCTACATCTTGTGTGTCTAGCTGTGATGTCACTGACCACCTGCCATCTCCAGCAGTGGGGACAACATGCTTCCTCTTTTCCTCCCCTTTGTAACAAACCGCATGCATGTTGATATTGGCCAGTCAAGGTCAGAAGGAGAATCTGGGGCTGGGGAACAAAGTGATGCTAAACATCTTATGAACAGCAATCGATGACCTCATCATCATATCTATATTTCTATAATGCTTTAAGATTTACAGAGCACTTTTCCTCACAATAACTCTGGGTTGTCATGCAAAGATTATTATCTCAATGTGACAGAGGAAGAATCTACATATTTAGAGAGCCTTTAGCTGTCTATATGTGGAGATTAAAAATGTGACATCCAGCGTTAGCATTTTAACATACATGTGGGTGATAAGTGCTAAGCCAACACTTGAACCCCGAGGTCTTATGCTGTGGTAGAAAGCGCAAATGACTAAAGAGATGTAGGTTCAAACTCCAGCTCTTTCACTTAATAGCTGCCTGACCCTGGGCCGCGTCTGTTAACCTTTCTTTTGCCGGATTTCCTCGTCTGTCAATGAAGAAGTTGGACTAAATGATCCCTAAGTTCCCATCTAGCTAAAAGGAAAAAAAAAAGCCTATGAATCTCTGAACCACCCTCTACCCATGTCACAAATCACCTGAATGAGAAGATGATATATCCTGGCAGCCTCCTGCATTGTCCTTTCATCAGAAGGCTGGAAAGAGCACAGAAATGATGACTATCACACAGACCAGCCCACTGCCCAGTCCTAATTCCCTGGCCCAATCAGCTATGGGAATTATTACAAACTCACAGGGCTCAAACTAGGGTCATTAGCCTAAGAAGGGAACACAGCTCAGAGAGGCAGAGCGCTGTGGCAGGGTTAGGGAAAGAAAGTGTAACACTGGCATGAGCCTAAAGGGACTGAAGTAAATGTTGCAAAAGTCAACCCTATCCGGATCTCTGGAATAAGAAGACTCTCCTGCTCCTATTTACAAGTTCTTTTAAGCATTACCTCATTTGTTCCTCAGTTTTTTGATAAAGGAGACCTCATCTCGGTTTCGGATGCCATACCTGAAAAAAGAACACTGGTTACTGGTCTGGGATCAGACACCACAGTGATTCCTTCACTGTCTAAGGCCTTGCTCTGTCACAAAGGACAAAGAAAGAATGGAGGATTGTGGCTGGGGCCTGAAGCCCAGATGAGCAGTAAAAACTCGTGCCTTAGCGCTAAGTGGTTTAAAAAACTTATTCCTTCTCTTCCCAACACTTCTGAGCCCTTTCTACATTTAACTCACTAACATGAGGGAGTCAACATGAGGGATAAAAGTGATGCAAAGTATCAAAGTCCATCTCTTTAACCTCAGATGATGTTATTACCTTCCTTCAGCTTGGTCCCTTTTGGTTCAGAGCTTTGTCCATGGCTAAAGGCCAACTTTGGACTAACAAGAACCACATTTCTAATGTGTGTTTTCCTTCTAATATCCAACCACTAAGGCCTTTCAACCTTGTTCCGTTTTCAAACCTTTGCCTGTCTTTTCCTCCTCTCTTCCCATTTGCTACAATGACTGTGGTCAGGCCAAGCTTTTAGGAAAGCTGCTGACAACCAAACCTCCAAGAAAGGAAGACATTTATCAATTAAACATTTATCAAGCACGTGCAGAACCCTGTATTGTTGTATACATCTCCTGTACCTGTGTACAGAACAATGTGCTGGGAGTGTTGAAGAGGGGAACACATACTCAGTCCTTCATACGTTAAATGGGCACCTTGAATGTCTGGGATCATAGGTGATGTTAGACTCCAGAACTTCCTGAAGCATAAATGAAACAGACCACTTACTCTCGGAGTTTCTTCCCATCTTCAGTCAGCTTCTCTCCAGCAAAAGTGAGATGGTATGTTCTCCATATATATGACCTGAAGACCTCCCCAAGAATTTAAGAGTGTAAAATCAGACATCAGAACTCAATGGAAAGGTAAACAATGCCTGTTACCAAAGACAGATCCTAAAGGTCTCCTAACTATAGCTTTCCTCTAGAGAGTAAGGCCATTTAAGTGTCCCTATTTGTCAAAGAGGAAAGAGACCCTGGAATAAACGAATAAACATTAGCTCTTCCCTAGGATCCTAGAGCTAGAGAACCTAGCTTTAAGGGAATCCTTTAGCAGCCTATCTTCACTGATACACTGTGACCACTATCTCCTTAAGTAATTCTAAAGATCAAGAATTTCAAGTGAAGGAATCTTAGAGGTAGTCCACTTCAAATTCCCACCTGGTAGAATCCCTTCTACATTTCATAGAATATTAGGGAGGACCTTTGAGTACAATCCTCATTTTACAAATGGAGAAACAGGCCCAGAGATAGAAAGTAACTTTCCCAAGATCACACAGTGGGTTAGTAACAGAGCCAGGATGACAAAACTAGGTGCCCCAAATCCTAGTTTGCTGTTCAAAAATTATTCTCAAAGCCTGGTGGGGCTATAGAGGTCAGTTAGTCCAACCTCCCACCCAATACAGGCATCTATTTTTCAATCGGTTGGGGTGGGGTGGGTGGGGAGAAGGGTATCACTAAGCTTCTGCTTGGACACCCATAGTGATAGTGAGCCCATCATCATACAAGGCAAGGTGGCCTTCTCTATATTAAGAATTTCTAATTATTTGATTATTCTTTTTGAGGTTGATCTGATATCTACATCTACCTCTTTGTCAAAACTTCCACTCCTACTCAAGCAAGGGGTCAGAGAAAACATGATAAATCCTCTTTACTTTGACAACTCACCAACTGATATGCTGTATGCCTCCTTCCCGCTCCTGTTTGAGCTGTACATATCTCTGAATAGCCTTCTTTAGGTCCAAGGTTGTGGCATTTTGCACCACAACAACAGCTGAAATGTAGATACAGACAAAGGGTGTAAAAATTCCCAATGGGCAACCTGCCCTGTCTACCTTATTTATCTTTAACCCAACTGCCCACAATGAGCTAGGGTTCTCCAGGAGGGAGAGGAATTGTGCCTCAGAGACTGCTGGGGAAGAAGTGGCCAGCAATCTTGGGACCCGGATATTACTTAAAACACCTCCAGTGACTTTATTAGAGTACTTGAGACATGTTCCTTCCCCTTTCCAGTGTTAGCCTACTCTGTGTTTCATCCCTCCAATATTAATTTCTCAGCACTTAGCAAGTCTCACAAATCATTACAATAGACAAATAAATGTTAAATACCTCCATGGTAGTTAAAAAAAAAAAGATGACTAAAAAGTCCTTACGCATCACTTCTCCATCCACTTTGCAAACTCTGACAGTCATTGCTTGGCCATATTCCAGAGCTATCTGAGAATTTATCTCCTCCAAAGTGACCTAGAACACAATAATAATCAATTAGAGAAAAAGAATCATAGGATTTGAACCTAGAAAGGGTTTTGCAGATTATCTAGTAAGTGAGGCTCAATTTCTTTAAGGTTTACAAGGAACCCTCTTCACAACAAACCTACAGGGTAGACAGATCAAGTACCGTTATCTTCATTTCAGAGGAGGAAGTTGAGATTTTGGAAGGTTAGGGAGATTATGTTTTACACACCTGGTTTTAAATGGTGACAGGTTCTTGACATTTTCCACTGTGTTAGTTTGACAAAATCAGAGAGAGCAGAGCAGGAGCCATATAGGCAGCTCCTGGCCTGTCTGACCACACAGTGCACATACCCTACCTCTCATTTACTCTATTATACAGATCTCACAAGCTAGAAATTCCAGAATCCACTTGGCTCCACTCACATTGGACTTCTTCGGCTTCTCCACTATACTGCGCCTCCCCCCACTCCATGTTTCCCTATTAGATTGTAACCTCCCTGAGGGCAAAACCTGTCTTTCTTTTTAGTTTTTGTATCCCCAGCGCTTAGCACAATGCCTGGCATGTAGCAGTCACCTAAAAGTTTCTTGAATACTTCTGACCCCTTCCTCGATAGTTACACATTTCAATACACGACAGATACTTTCCCCACGTTTCTATACAGGGCCAGGGAGGAAAGGAGCCTTTGGGAGCCTGGGCCTGGGTCCTAGCGACGCCCCCCCCCCGCTCCCTCCCCAACCTCCACCTTCCATACCTGGATAGGCAGGTCGCAGAGCAGCGGATCCTGAACGATCATGGCGAGCCCCTCCTGAAACACGTCCACCACCTCGGCGTGAGGCAGCGCCTCCTCTTCGTCGTCCTCGTCTTCGCCGCCGCCCCCGCTGCTCGCAGCCTCCACCTCCTCCTTAGCGATCGGCAGCTTCTCCTCCACATCCCACTCCTCCATCTCCAAGTCTTTAGCAGCAAACTTCCGCTGAGAGCCACCAAGGAGACACCTGGGAAACTGTGCTGAGAAGAGCGGGCGGGACTGCCGAAGAGGCTGCTGGGTAACAGCTATTGGTGGAAAAGGAGGGACGGGGATTCCTTAAGGGCGGCTGGGGGATGGCCGTGGGTAAGAGGACAGAGGCGGGGCCGATGAGGGGCGGGTCCACTGCAAGGCAGATTGGGGAGGGGCTATTGATGGGAGCAGAGGGGTGGGGCTGCCATGGGTGAAATGAGAGCGGGCGGGGCTGACGAGGGGCGGGGTTGCCGTCAGGGCCGATGGGGTACGGCCATTGGTGGGAACAGAGGGGCGTGGCTGTCGCGGATTAATGAGGTCGAATTGCCGTCCGATGGTGGAGGCTGGTGAACCGTTGTCAAAATGCTGCTCTTCTGCCCGGGCTGCGGGAACGGGCTGATCGTGGAGGAGGGGCAGCGCTGCCACCGCTTCGCTTGCAACACGTGCCCATACGTGCACAACATCACCAGGAAGGTGCGGGCGGGTCTGCTGGGGAGGGGGCGCGTGTCTGTAAGGGAGGGAGCGTGGGGGCACCGTGAGGGTGTGGTGAGGAGGGAAAGCGTGATCTGGGACCTGGTTTGCGTTGCACCTGGAGGTGCAAACTCCGCCTGAGCCCTTGACTAGCAGTGAGACCGGAGAACTCACTCCGCTCTCCGAATCTGGTTCCTTGTCGATAAAAGGGGCGGGATCGGATCAGTTCTGTGGTCTTGTAAACCTAAGCGGAAGACGGAAAGAGGAAAATCGTCTGTGGGCTGGAGCAGGAGATTGCTCAGGGGGTTCTCCACTTCCTACTGGAAGAAGGAAGCCTGGGGAGACTAAGGGTGGGGGGAATAGAAAAGGGATTGTGTGAGATACAGAGTGGGAGCTGTAACGGTACAGGGAAAATAGACTGGGGTACGAAGAGCTGAAGTCAGGATATACAAGTTAGGGTGACCAGTCAGTCAGTAAGCATGTATTAAGCTGCCTACTGTGTGCCAGGCATTGTGTTAAGTGATCTAACAACAGCATTTAACGGCTTTATGAAAATATACATGTTTTCAATGTCAGAAAATCCTCTCATTTTTTTTAAAGTATTTTTAAAAAATGATAAATCACTTGTGTTGCAGAGTGAAACCTGTTGTTGATTTTAAGGGGACACTTTTCAAACCTTAGGACACCCAAATGTTTTGTCAGCTTTGTTGTCAGAGGTAAAAGAAAGATGGTGGGAGGAAGAGCAGGAGTCTTTGAGGGCAAGTGAGAAAGTTGATAGTAAAAGAGTGGGATATGAAGGAGCCCTGGTTTTTCAAATAGTTGCTGGTTAAAGACTAAACCTATTAAATGGGTAAGGTGCTAAAGAGGAGAAACTAAGGGATTCTAGATTTGTCTGTTACACAACTCCTCATACTCTGTTTTTCAATCTCATGGTGACCTCCAGTCCCTCCATTTCTCTATTCTTTCCCACATCATCACTCTTGCACTGGTTATACTCTGTTGCCTTCCCCATCTTGACCCCTTTAGTGAATCAGTCCAACTAATGCTCATTTTCCCAACCTATTTCTTGACTTTTAACTTTATATGTTAAAGTTAGGCTTTGTTCTCTGGGTGGAGTGGGCAGTGTCCCAAGCTTCAGGTTTTTTGTGCTGTTGTTTTCAGAGCTCCTTTGAGAGTCTGTAAGTTTTCAGTTTTTCCAAGGTCATATGAACTAAGTAGAGGTGTGATCACTGTTCTCCTGCCCTGTACTTTGGTCTGTGAGTAACTTCTCTGGAACCAGGGTCCCTGCTTCCTTGCAGCCACACACTCTAGTGTGCTAGTAGTGTTCCTTCTTACCCTGGGACTTCGACCCCTAGTGCCAACAAAGGATCCCCTGTAATCTCCTTCTGACCAGTTGTCTGACTGCCTTATCATCTGCAGGCTGAGAGTTCTGGAAGTCAGCTTCAGTTGCCCCCAAGGCCAGCTGCTGGCCTGGCCTGGCATTGCCTGTGCTGGACTGTGCTCCGCTCTCATCATGGTGGACAGACCTTTCCTGCCAGCCTTTCACCCTGTCCTTTTGTTGGTTCTACTGCTCCAGAATTCATTTTGAAGTGTTATTTTAATGTCGTTTGGAGGGAATTTGGGAGAGCTCAAGTGAGTCCTTGCCTCTACTCTGCCATCTTGGCTCTGCCCTTTTACTGTATACTCTTTGATCCAATGACATTGGTCTCTTTGGTGTTCCTTGTACAAGACACTCCATTTTTCACTACCATGTTTAAAAAAAATCAATTTTCAGCTTAGCATTTTCTGCTTTCTCCCCCATTGAGGAAGCAAGGGGAAAATAATAACTCAGTTACAAACATGTATAGTTAAGCAAAACAGATTTCTGTATTAGTCATGTCTGAAAAAGATATGCCTCAACTTCTACTTTGAGTCAATCACTTCTCTACCTAGTTTCAACATGAGTTCTTTGGAATTGTGGTTGGTCATTATATTGATCAGTATTCCCAAGTTGTTCATTGCTGTTTGTCTTTATAATATTGCTGTTATTCAGGGGTGTTGGCATTTGACTCATAGAGTGTTAGAGCCAAGAGGGATCTTATAGGTTACCTGGTCCTGTCCCATAATTTTGCAGATGTGGAAATTGATAGCAAAAGAGAGGAAATGACATGCTCAAGATCATACCTCTTGTGGAAAAGCCTAGATTCAGATGCTGGTATTTTGACTTCAGTACAGTCCTCTTTCTGTTGGGTACCATTTGCTTCTTGGTTTTGATTGTCTTTGGCCTTCCCATGCTAATTTCTCTGGAGTATCCTTATTTACACCTAAACTTCTTTTCTCCCATTCTATGGTCTCCCTGTCTGCATTGCTCAGTATGACTGAACCCTGCGTAGAGTTGAATGATCTTGCTATAGCCTGGATGGGGCAGATGGATGCCATTCTATCTTCTGGGCTTTTGATGTGTTCATGTGGTTTGCTAGGTAACGAATCGGAAGTATCCAAAGCTGAAAGAAGTGGATGACGTACTAGGGGGAGCCGCTGCCTGGGAGAACGTTGACTCCACTGCAGGTAAGAAGCAGGGCCCCCTTTCCCAGGCCCTGGCAAGGGTATGAACAGCACTTGTACCAGCTACATGGCTGCTGACCACTTCCCTTCACATCATACACTCAAACTTGTTCCTTACATAACAAAGGCCAGAGACCTTTAAATAATGTAGTGCTTAATATTTTTTTTTTAGCCAGAGGAAAAGTTTGTTAGTGATAAATCACATAGGCCAGGTGACGCCCATAAGGACAAGTTGGCATGAGAAAGTCTCAGCCTTTTGAGCATGAGGTTCTCAGCATCTGAATGGGGGCCAGGGTGGATCTAGGTAAGAATTCTAACTGGGGAGGTCTGAGAGATTGAATAGACAATGGGAATAGCTAATGGAGGGAAGAGGAAGGCATCAGTCAAAGGGAGATAAGGGGAGTAGTTTAAGTGTTTTATGGGACCTGTAATAGAGGGAAGTGGAAGGCATCTGAGTAAGGCCAAAAGGTGGAGGCTAAGTCTTCCAAAGGGAGAGAAGGGGAGTCCATAAGGAACCATTTGAGACAAGAGTAAGGGCTTTCTGGGGCCCATAGACAAAGGGGAGTCAGATTCTTTTAGGGCAAGGGGCAAAGGCACATCTGAATAAGATTAAAAGGTAAGCTAAGGCTTTCAAAGGGAGATGAGGTGCTGTAGACAAAGGGGAGCCAGATTCCCTTTGGTACAAGGGGAGAAGAGACCTTGGCTTGGGCCATACCCCATCATTCCCCCCCTCAAACAAATTAGAACCAAATTCTTTTGGGGAAAGGGGCGAAGGTCTCAGCTTCTGAAACTGCTTCCTGCTGGCAAGAGGCATAGAGCTGTCCTTGCCTCTCTGGGTCCCGTTCGAGGGGTCAAACTTCAAAACCGAGTTGATGCCAGGTTCAGCGGGCTAGAGTCCTGGGGTTCGTATACAGCCTGAACAGTCATCTGGAAGTTGATGGCTCCAACCCTAGAAGAAAGGAATCTTCAGCCTCGATTTCTGCCCAGGGCTTGGCAAGAGAGATGGAGAAAGTGGGAGTGTTGCCCATACCCAGGCTCCCTTGTCCTCCCCAGTCTTGAGAAGACCAGAGGACAGGGTACTGGGGGGCTGCTCTACCACTTCTCCTACCTTGGGGATGATCCTTCTTCCAATGTCCCTCCTGATCACATCTTGGGCAAGGTCCTGGAGGTGTCCATCTTGGGGGCTTCCTCCAAGGGGGCGTCCCGGAGGGGCACTCCTTGGACCAGTGAGCCTCCCTGTGGCCTCCCCTGCCCAAGCCGCTGGGCTTCCTCCGAGGGGGTGCCCTGGAGAGGCACTCCTTGGACCAGTGGCTCCCCTGGTAGCATCAAAAGCAGGTTTTCCCCACTGCCCAAGTTGCCAGGAATTTGGGTCTTTTCCTGACCATGAAAGCAGCCAGGAATCGGGCATATTCTTTGCCTCTAGCCCTCTGCCTGCGTTCTTTCTCCTTAATATTTTTTTTTGCAAGAGCAATTTCTATAATACTTTAAAGTTTGCAAAGCATTTTACTTACAGCATTTCTGCTATACTTCTCAAAGAAAATGTGCCTTTCATCCACTTTTTAAATTAAGATTAGGGAGTATAAAATTTACTTTAATAAATACAACAAATGAAAAATATTCTTCGCTTCTGTATTACCTATCACTTAAGAGAAAAAGATCAGGCTGGGGTCGGGGGGGAGTAGGGGAAATAGAAGAGGAAGAAAAGTGATAATAATAGCCTCAATGTGTATCGGACCTGGGAGGCAAAGCACAAGCCCATTTGTTAATATTTCTCTTTTAAGAAAGTGTATCTGTAGATTTAAAAAAGTAAAAAAAATTGCTAGAATTTATTATGGAAAGCTTTAATGCCTGTCTAAAGTTTGAAAGTACAAATATTTGTGGAATCCTCTTTTCCTAAAGGGTTTTGAAAAAATTCTCAAAACAAATGAATTTTGATTCACCTTACTTTTAAAAATACCTGCCACGCAGCACTTTTTGGAGATGTGGAATGTGCTGTAAAAGCTGTCATTAAAACATTAAGCTGCCCTAAGACTTTTGGGACACGCTGTATATAGCTTCTTTCCAGTCCTTACTTTATAATTAAGCCCTCAGCCTTGTGGCATTGCGTCTCCGCCGGCCTCGCGGGATGGCGTCTCCGCCGGCAGCGTGAGCAGGGGCTTGGAACGGTGCTTCCAAAGTGAGGTCGTTGATGCCATTATTCCTCAGTTGGGTCTGAATGCTCGGAACTTTCATTTGGCTTTATACATTGTCCTTTCTCCAGGTATCTTCTGGTGAATGCTGGGGGAAAAGCCAGTTTTATTTCCTTGCTTTCCTTGGTGGTTTTATTTCTATAAAGGCTGAAGTAGGGGGATGGTCCTGAGGTGGGATTAGGGCCTCCAGGAAAGTCCACAGCCCAGAGGCAGCCCACTTTTACCCCATGGTGTGTGGTGCCCTTCGCTGAGAACCAGTTAGTTTCCTGGTTGGGCACAGAACGGAGCAGAAACAACAGAGACGGTGTCAGGAGCTGAGTCAGGCCTCCTGTAGACCCTTTTCCCCTGTCGCCTGGCTGTCCTCTCAGGCCACACTGGCGCTTGGTGTTCATCTCCAATGCAGAAAGGACACCTCAAAGGCACTTGTTTAATAGTGGGCCAATAGTATTTTTGTATAAGAAAGGCATTTTAAAATTAAGTTTGATGGCACATTTGTTATTTTCCTCTGCAGAGCCGTGCCCCAAGTGTGAACACCCTCGAGCCTACTTCATGCAGCTTCAGACTCGCTCTGCAGATGAGCCCATGACCACTTTCTACAAGTGCTGCAATGCGCAGTGTGGACATCGCTGGCGGGACTAGGCCCTCAGGCCTAGCTGCATTGATGTGTGCCTCGTGCCATGCCCAGTGTTCCCTGGTCGCTGTGTGACTCAGGGAGAGCTCCCAGTTGGGAATGTATGTTATGTAACATATGGGTTGTGGAAATAAATGGTGAAATCTTTTGTGTGGCAGCAAGCTGATTTTCTCTTGGGACCTGTGGTCCAAGAGGAAGGAACAATGAACAGCCTGATGTACTGGACAGAATTGGCCTTGCTAATGTGGAATCCAGGGATACCCTCATTTAATGGAGTTGTTCATTGATTCCTTGAAAACAATACGTTAGGTAAAACATAGGAGGCACTAAGTTCCATAGGAACAGTTACAATTTGTGAGATATGTTCTGGGCAGCCAAAATTCAGAATATAAAAGCTTAACATTTTTTTAAAGACTTGAAACTATATAAGCCTAGCTATGCTATTATTGGTTTTCCGCTCTACAGCTTGCCCCTTCCTTGCTTGACAGATGCAGCTAAGTGAGGGAGGAGTGGCTCCTAGCACTCAGTCAATGCAGTGGTTGGGGAGGATGAAAAGGCCCCGTCAGAGTAGGACTAGGCCTATGTTATCCTTCCCAATTCTGCTTGTAGGCAGGCACCTGATTTTGCTGATAGTACGATGGATCTAGCAACTATTTGCTGAATGGCCTAAGTATTAAAAGGTTTCTGTTGCAATATTTTCTATTTTCTGCCAATTTAAAAGTGGGAGTGGAGGGACTTTATATTTCATTTTTTTCCCTCTGGGTTTTACTTGATTGTGATGGAACATTACAATTTATTAACATTATCTTGAAATAATTCAATAATTCAATTCAAGGGCAGCAAGGTAGCACAGTGGATAGAGCACTGGCCCTGAAGTCAGAAGGACCTGAGTTCAAATCCGGCTTCAGAACAAACACTTGACACTTACTAGCAGTGTGACCCTGGGCAAGTCACTTAACCCCAATTGCCTAAAAAAAACCCACACACGCAAAATAATTCAATTCAACAAAGATTAAACACTATGTACATGACAGTGTGCTTCATGTTGGGGATAAAATCTAAATGATTACCCTCAAGAGACTGACATTCTTTTGGGGGATAAACCATGACCATAAAAGTCTAATACAGGTAAGAGAAGCTTTCATGACAGTAAAATGGTATAGTGTAATGGCTGGCATGATGCACTTGAAGTGTTGGAATCCTGTTTCTGATGCCTATTAGCTTTGTGATGCCACACTTCTCAGAGCCTCAGTTTCTCCATATGTAAAATGAGGATAATGCTATCTGTAATACCTACCCTACAGGGTTGTTGGAAGGCTCAAATGAGACAATAGAGTAAAGATCTTTGCAAACTTCAGAGCATTAAAGTTTAGAGACTTCGTTTTATAAATGGGGAAAAGGAGATCTGGAGATAAGTTTCTTGCTCACAGCTGAGCATCTAGTTAGAGGCAGAGCTAGGGCTGGCACCCAAGTCGTTGGACTCTGCTGACCTTTTGCATTTTTTTTTTTTACTTTTAGGCAATTGGGGTTAAGTGACTTGCCCAGGGTCGCACAGCTAGTGCCAAGTGTTTGGTCTGAGGTCAGATTTGAACTCAGGTCCTCCTGACTTCAGGGCCGGTGCTCTATCCACTGACCTTTTTCATTTTACCAAAGTCTTAGATAATTATCCTATTAAAGCATCCTCATTGCATCATAAAGCAATTGGGGGAAAAAATTTTGTTCCCATAATAAGGTGAACATTTCCTCTGTGGTTTTCATTTCTTTAAGAAGCATAGATTTATGAATCTATGAAGTCCTGAATTGAGTTTTTGTTCTATTTTAGCATTTGTTCTTTGAGGTGATTGTAAACAACATAAGATTAGAGTAAACGTTTACGGAATCAAAGGGAACGGGTCCTTAGTACTAGTGCAACTAGCAGACTTATCAAAGGCTGTTAACACTGACTTCATTCTTGGACTTCAAAAGATTCCACTCATTTCCTTAGTCAGAGTCCTGTTGGGAAGTAAGTGGTTCACATGACTCAGCAATTTTCGCCTAACAGCTGTAAGCTAGCAGTGTATTTTCATACATCTTGTGAAAAAATCCCTGGGTCTCTCCTAATTCCCTTTTCTTTTTGTTATTTTCTTTTATTTTCTTAGTTTTTAGCATTCACTTTTATAAGATTTTGAGTTCCAAATTTTCTCCCCATCTCTCCCCTCCCCCACAAGACAGCATGCAATCTGATATAGGCCAAACATGTACAATCATATTAAACTTATTTCCATGTTAGTCATGCTGTGGAAGAAGAATCAGAACAAAAGGGAAAAACCACGAGAGAAAAAAAACCCCAAAAGAATAGTATGCTTCAATCTGCATTCAGACTCTGTAGTTCCTTCTCTGGATGTGGATAGCATTTTCCATCATGAGTCTTTTTGAATTGTCTTAGATCATTGCATTGCTGAGAAGAGCTAAGTCAGAGCTGGCCGTCACACACTGTTGCTGTTATTGGGTACACTGTGCTCCTGGTTCTGCTCACTTCACTGCATCACTTCATGTAAGTGTTTCTAGGTTTTTCTGCTCATTTCTCATATAGCGCAATAGTATTCCATTACATTCACATACCACAACTTGTTCACCCATTCCCCAATTGATGGGCATCCCCTAAATTGCCAATTCTTGGCCACCAGAAAAAGAGCTGCTATAAATATTTTTATACATGTGGGGTTTTTTTCCCCATTTTTATGATCTCTTTGGGCTGTAGACCTAGAAATGGTATTGTTGGATTAAAGGGTATACATAGTTTTATAACCCTTTGGGCATAGTTCCAAACTGTTCTCCAGAATGCTAACTCCTTTTTCAACAAGTTGCTTGTATATATCCCCTTGCTAGAGGCTATAATTCAAAAATAAAAAAAAAACCTCTCCCTTAGGAAGATAGGTTAGCTTAGCGTTGTTGTATAATGATAATAACTTGCATTTATATAGTCCTGTAGTGTTTGCAAAAGGCTCTCATAGTTATCTTTTAAGGTAGCTATTACAAGTCTTATTCCTGCTTTTTAAATGAGGGAAGTAAATTTTAGAGAGCTAGAGTAACTTACTCAAAGTCATGCAGCTAGTCTTGGAGCTGAGGTTGCCCATATACTGTTTAGACTGAGTTGACTGTGAGGTTAGGCTGGACAATACTGTGCAATGGGAGAGCAGAAGACTGGCGGGTTTGGTTAGAAGGTCTAGTCTAGGCAACCTCTAGGTCATATGTGGCCCTCTCGGTCTTCAAGTGCAGCCCTTTCACTGAATCCTGAGGCAAGGGGGAACAGATCTTTGTGGTCTCAAGGTCACAGGTTCCCTCGCCCTGGTCATTGCCTCAGGATTTCATAAGTATATTTTGACAGTAAATTCCAGTCCCGAGAAAACACCAGTAAGTGAAGGAGTAAAAAACTGACAATTTTTCCCGGAGTTAAGAAAGCAGGGCTAATGGAAAAGTAGACCTGTCCGTTCTTGATCTCCACGGTGCCAGGATCAGACACTAGCGAGTTCTCCAGCCCCACTTAGGGGAAAACTGATACAGCAGGATGAAATGGTGGAAAGGCTGCTGGGCCTTGGAGTCAGAAGAGCTTAGTTGGAGAATTGGCTGCACCCCTTAGTGGAGGGACAACTGGAATTGGAGTCAGAAGGCCCAAGTTAAAGTACTGGGTTTGCTACCTACTAGCTGCATGACCTGAGATGACTCACCTCCTTTCTATAAGACTAATTCATCATCTGTAAAATGGGGATATATCTTAAATTTAAAATTCGTTTTTATTTTCATGAAGATCTGTATTGTCTTTCTTTCCTCCTCCTCTACAGTTGAGAAATCAAGAAAGACCAAACCTCATTAGAAATCACGAGTATAGTAATACGTGTACCGTCTGCCTCACAGGGCTGTTGGGATTAAATGTGTTCATGCCTTTTGAAGGTGCTTTGTTAATCCTAAGGCATCAGGTAAATATGTTATTATGGGGAAGTAGAATGGAAAAAACTACACCTGGATTCAAGTACCTGTACTGCCTTCCTTCCAGGACTGATAGGATTGTGTGTTGTAAGCCACAAAGTCCTCTATAGATGTTTCCTGAAGAATAAACATAGGGATGATTGAATAAATAGGTAGGTGGTTGGGTTTTTTTCCCCATAGCCTGTTAAGGATGCCATGTAGTAATATATACTGACCACTAGGTGGTGCAGTGGATAGTGTCAGGGAGATCTGGGCAAGCCAGTTAACCTCTATCTGCCTCAGTTTTCTCTCCTGTAAAATGGGGATGATAATGGCACCTATGTCTCAGGGTTGTTTTGAGGATAAAGTGAGGTAATATTTATATAGCTCTGCAAACCTTAAAGCACTATATACATGCAAGCTATATATATTTATGTGTATTTAACTTTTTTTAAGAATACACATTTGCTATTTTTTTTACAAAGTATTTACCACAAAGCAATTGTTTGCCTTTTTTTTAAAAAGGAAGAGTTACATGCTGTTTTTATTATCTGTATTTGTTATGTTGTTGTTAATACATTTAAAAACAGATATTGACTTATTGCATTTCTAGTCATCGTGCAGTTTCTTGAAATGTGTCTCAAGCAGATTGTCATGAATTTAATTCTGTGGCCAAATGTCTTGTGATGTTTAAAATGTTTCGTGTTGCACCAAATATTAGGAATTAAAAGGTTGAGGCAGAGTTAGGGATCTGAATTTAGGTTCTGGCTAAGAAGCCAGAGACATGGAGTACAATTTTACAGCCAGATTAAGAGCCATCTGTAGATGATTCTATAGCAAAACTCTTCTAAAATATTTTGGATAACAAATGAGGGAGATCAATGTCAGCTGGAGTGTTACCTGTAAACACCCAAGCATTCTCTTTCCTTTCTCAGGGAGTTCAATGTTTAGCTCACAGTCTTTTTCTACCCCAACTCCTGCTTGAATATGTTAGACTTCAATATACATATTGATACTTCCTCAAATTCCCTAACTTTGCCAGTGCCTCAGTCGACTCCTGTGACCCTGCAGAGATGGTCATACCCTTGAGCTTATCATCACACAGGTGTTCCACTTCCATGTTCATGAACTCTGAATTTTTTAATTTTTTTTTTTTTTGGTTTGGGCAATAGGGGTTAAGTGACTTGCCCGGGGTCACACAGC